GCTAAATTTTAACCGCTAAACCAATCAGGCCCTTAATCACATAAAGAATATTAAGAGAAAAGTGCTAGAAATAGAAACCTTAGCATTCCTCTTATTTAAAATTCTCCTTTCCTATTTATTTTCTCTAATCTCTACATGATTACATATAAGAGATTAAGGGTGTGTTTGGGTTGTATATTTATGGTACTTTTTCACAGAGTAGGTTATTAAAAATGTTAATTTATTCTAATTAAATCAATTTTAATTATTATAAAAAATATATATCACTCATAACTCTTAAAAAAATTAAAAATTTTATATTAAATGGTATCATTTCATTTAATTAAAAGTCAAATTAAAATTCAAAAATTCATTTTATTAAATGTTGATACTTGCATTTGGAAATTAATTATATATTCTAATATAATTTGTTTCTAAATCCATATTTAAAAAGGTGGATTTCCGAATATTTTAATTGGATTTTCACTTTCTAAATGCAAGTATTAATATTAATAAGGTAGATTTCTAAATTTTGAATTGAGTTTTTAAATAAATAAAATGACATCATTTAAGTTAAAATTCTAATTTTTTTGAGAGTTGATACTGATATGCATTATTTTTAATTGATATTTTACACAATTTAATATTGTATTCATATATAACAATATTTTTATAATAATAAAAATATTCAAAAAGTTATAAGTATAATACTTTACAACAATTTCAAACACAAAATTTGAAAGAGAATTGCATGCAAGTGAGATTGTAAAGTGTTTATAGGACAACCCAATAGCTAGAATACATGAAAAATGGGGAAAGGGGGAATGACATGGAAGCATGCCAATGGCCATGGATAGATGCACCTCTACCATTTCAGCTTTTAATATGTATACAATAGGGAAAACCCCCTCTTAAGCCTTAGATTTATCCCAAATTAATATGTAAGTTCTTAAATTAAAAATGATGTAAATAAGCCTTCAAACTCTTTGAATGATGTAAAGTAGTACTTAAATCTCTTGAAAGATATAAATTAACACTCATCTTTAACAACTCAACACATATGATCTCATGTTGTTTGTTCTTTTTCTTCACCTGGTTTCATTTTTCCACATTAATACTAACATGGAGCAAAGGACCCCTTGAGTATTAAAAATTCTGTCAAAATGGTTTACATGACTTGAAAATACTAAATAAAAGAAAAAAGGATGACATGAGTCTTTTAGTGAAATTTTTATCACCCTAAAGGTCCTTTAGATCCACATTAACATCTAAGACCAAGCAAATAAAAAAATTAAATGGTATGAGATCATATGGATTGGCCATAATGATCAGCTAATTTGTAATTTACATCTTTGAAGAAATTTGAGGATTAATTTATATCATTAAAAGAGTTTGAGAGTTTATTTGCACCTTTTTAGTTTGACGACTCGTGTTAATTTGAGATAAGTTTGAGGCCTTAAGAGGGAGTTTCGCCTATAGAATATCGTATGATATGTTAAATTAATAAATATATACTCAGTGGATGTATACTGATTCATATTTAAGTGAGCAGAGTCAGCCAAACTGAACACAAAGGAATAAGGATCAGCACTGAGAATTGAGATAGACCAGAAGAACATGGCCCATTTTCTGTACCGAATAGGGATTTTCTTTTCAAACTAAAATTGGGCCTTCGTAGTTATAGTTAAATCAAGAAATCCAAAACCCAAAAAGCCCAACCAAAAATATTCCATATCCATCATTTCTGCACCAAATTTATTAATTGGTATTTTTTTTCCTGACGTGGGTTGTATAATGAGGGGTAAATTATTTCTTTATCTTTTATTGCACTTTTTCTTATATTATGCGACTCAAACTCAATACCTCTTATTTTTACTAGAAGGAGATAACCACTAAATATGTGCAAATAAACTCTCAAACTCTTTGATGATGAGGGAGTCGTCAAACTAAAAAATTTATTCAGTCGTATTAAGTACTTCAATATTGAAGCAAAATGATTGAAACTAAAACAGCAACAACAACAACAGTACTTAGATTAGTTATATATAACAGCACATGCACATTAAAACGGTCCATCTCCACACAGATATATGCTCACATTTTACCTTGGCGTTCCTTCTCCACCACCACGGTTCCCTCGTCATAGCTCCCCACATCATTGAAAGTTTGTCCGGTCATCTGGTCCGACGTCTTAAGGGTCGCCACCACCGCACCCGGTGGTGTGTCCTCCAAATTAATCACAACCTTGCCACTTGTCCTATTACAATCAGTCCAAAAAATAATCTCAAAATCCAACTAATTTTTACCTTAATCAATACATTGTTATTATATATGTCTTCGTACCTTACACCTCTAGGACTAGTCTCCTTCTCTTCCTTCATCCTCATTTCCTCCATTTTCTGTCTAGCTGCCTCCCCTGTTTCTTTCAGTGTCCCCTATGTGACATATTACAAAAAATGGTAATAATATATAATAGTTGCATTTCATGTATGAAATTTAATAATGTGATCTTGGATGTAAGGTACTGACCTTCGTTGCTTCGGCGGTTTCTGCAGTCTTCTGCTTTGCTTCCTCTTTCTTTCCGGTGATGAAATCCATAGCCTTCCTAGCAGCACCAGCAGCAGAGTCCTTTAACTCTCCAAGCTTTCCAACAGCAGCATCCTTCCCTTCCGTTGCTTTCTCTGCTGCATAGTCCTTAGACTCCCCAGCCTTCCCTATGGTCGTGTCCTTCGCCCCCCTAGCTTTCTCGGCCGCATAGTCCTTATGCTCCCCTGCCTTCTGCACGGTGGCATCCTTTGCTTCCTTAGCCTTCTCCGCCGTATAGTCCTTCGTCTGTCTCGCCTTCTCAGCTGCTTGATTTGCATACTCTCCCATCTTCCCCCCCCATGGCCGATCCTGTTGTTTCTTCAGTTTTCTGTGAGCAATCCTTATCTTTCCCTGCCGCAGTATCTTTCGTCTCTCTCGCCTTCTCAGCCGTATGGTCCTTGGTCTCCTTTGCCTTCTGGGCCGCGTAGTCACTATACTCGTCCATCTTCCGCCCAGCTGTATCAGTAGTCTCTAGTAGCCTCG